TTATTCTGCTAAATGTTAAAAGAAGAACACAAATGTGTTGTGTCATTAACACTAAAAGGGATTATGTTTGATGCATTGTGTGAAATGAGATTAGAATATGATATTTAGCATATTGTTAGACGTATAGAATGAGGCTTAGAAAGCCCTACTCTCCAGAGCCACTCCCATCTCTTTCTCCCAACCATATTGCTGGAATTTGCTGGTATGGTCCCCTTTGGTAAGCACACTGCTTGTTTGAACACTGGCTATAATTAGCTATTAGGCATTGTTGCTAGATATTGTTACTTGATTGATTGTTAAGACTTGAATTGCCTTTAATGTCTTACCTTTTAGATTGGTTTTATGTGAAATTATAAATGAGCTTTCAACGTCATAGCCCCTAAAGTGTGTGATTTAGAATGATAATATATTTTTTCCTTTTTTACTTTAATCAATATTCTCTTTCATGCCATAAGCCTGTGCATTTAGACCGCCTACCTTTGTGTTGGCATAGAGTTTGGGGTTTTTGTGTTGTTTTGTTAACTTAAAAAACAAATGGGGAAGAATGTAATAGTTGATAAATTATTACACTTGGTTTGAGGTTTTGAAATTAAGAACAGGAAAGAAAAAATCAACTGTGTTATAAAGCATTAAAACTCAAGAACCATTAGTAAAACTATGAAAAACAAACAGGAGTATAATAATCTAAAATCTTACAGAGTAAGGATCTTGGAATGTATTTTTAGAGTAATATGTTGTTCTTGTCAGATTTTTAGTAAATTATAAGTATCTTTGACAGGAGTCCAAATTGAAGACTGCATAGTGGAGTGGACCTGAGGGGACGGATTGTAAAATAATGGGTAGTGTACTTGGGGAGGGTTGGGAGGTGAGAAAAATGCAACAATGGATGAATGGAAATCCCAAGTGTCTGTAAATTTTCATTGAAATTAATAATAAATTAATAATAAATTGAAAATAAGGAAAAAATATAAAAAAGAGAAAAACAGTAAACAATGCTGCACCCTCCCCAAAAAAGTAAAACACAAAGATTTTTGATAAGTCACTATTTTTTATGCATGTGTGTCAGTACGTTGTACTGTGGTTGTTGACATGTTGCTGTGATGAAGGAAGCTATGCACCTGACCCAAACCATATTCTTTTTAATTGTCTCCAATGCTTGTGAAAGCTGGAAAATGATTAAGGAAGATAGAAAGAGATGTCTTCAAATTACAGTGTTGGCAAAACATATGGAATATACCATGGACTATCAGAGTAAGTACATCTTAGAAGCAGCACAGTCAGAATGTTCTTTAAAATCTAGGATGGCAAGACTGGCTAATGGAATTTGAATGTGTTTTCAGGAGCCACCAGTCCCTCTCCCGTGACAGAGATGGCCATCACGCTTGGTAAACTAGAGGGTGAGTGAAATGAGGGAGCTCCTCATTGGGATGGCCCTGTACGGTGGCTGCCACAGGGGCTCAAACAGGGCCCTGGCTAGGCGGACGGCAGTGTTCTGTCCTGTCACACAGACTCACGCTCAGTCAGAGCCGATGCGACAGCATCTAACAGGAACAACAGCAACATGCATGTGTGTGGAGAAACTCTCCTCCCTGCCTTACTCTTCCTGTTAGTAAACCACAGAGGAGACATATTCAAGTGTCTGAATTAAGAGCTGTACTGAAATTGAATTAAGAACTGGCTCCTTACATACTTCAAAAAGATGAAAGTATAGCTGTGACAGGACACCAGTTCTTTCTCCCTACATTGTCTCCTTGTATGGTAAACAAAATGAAATATTTAAAATGTTTATCCTTAGTGCAACAATGAATGAATGGAAATCCAAAATCTCTGTAAATGTTCATGAAAATTAGTAAAATTTAATAAAAATTTTAAAAAAATGTTTATCTTTTTCTTTTGAATAAATGAACACAAAAACATGGTACTATAACATGGAGCAGGCAAAATGAATCAAGTCACTTAATTGTTAAATGTCATCAAGTTGCCTGTGACTCATAGGACCCTCGTGACAAAGGGGAACTATGAAGAGAGCTTCTCTGGCTGCAATCTTTACTGAAGTACAACAGCTCTTTTACCAGAGAAGCTGCCACGTGGGTTCGAACATCCGACCTTTTGGTTAGCTGTCAAATGTCTAAAAGCTGTCCCACCTGGACATACATACATTTTGGAAGATACTTTGAGAAACAAGTTCTTATTTTTTTCTGTTCTTCAGCTGACATTACCTAATGCATCCTGAATATGTGAAACACCTGTGTTAAGTGGCGCTATAATAACTACTCAGCAACATATAAACCTGACTGACTAGGCCAAACAGGTTTTTCCAAATTCTCTTCCAAGATGTTATGTCTATATAAGAGACTGAAGAACTACTTTTTAAAGGCCTCAAGCATAACAGACATAACTACAGTTATAAACTACTGTCCAGCCAGTTCTTGGGAAAACACAAAACCGAAGTATTCTGAGTAACCACTGAGGAAGTGCTCATGGTTTCTACTGTATGAAAAGACCTTTCAAAACTTTCACTGAGAAGTATTTTAGGATTGATTAAGAATGCTTGCTTCAAACAACAGCACCTACCATTCGATTATGGGGAACTTTTATGGGAACAGAATGTTCTGGACATTCGCTGGAGGTGTTGTTTATTGCTAACGTTGCATTTGAATTTATCATGCCCACTAATGCCACACTCAGGTTCACACGTAATGCATAGACGACGAAGAAACCAAAGAAGGCCAGAACCGCCAGGTTGTAACGAGCAGAGCAGCATACACGAGCTGAAAGAGAGACGGGGAGAAAACTTTCAATAAAGACAATACTTAGATGATACTGTGTAATCCACGAAAGTTTTAATCCAGGTTAGTTTTTAGAAGTGTGTAAATAAGAAATCATTACTATTTTCCTGAGAATATCCTCAGATTTAACATATCTAAGAGTATTTATGAAAAAAGTTCATTCTCTATATGTAGAGTTTCCATACAAATTTACCCATGACAGTTTGAGCTGTAAGACAATTTATTAAAATATGGAAGTGAAAACTTTATCAACTTTTCTCCGAAACATCTCCATGACACTGTCAAAACTGAACCCCTATGTCCTGGCTGGAGTTTACATGGCAGAGATACGACATGAAAAAGTAGGTGAGATGAGAGAATCCCTGTAAAGCTATATAAACCATGGTCAGTAAGTACTTAAATACTGACTGTGCCATAATAAATATAGATCTATAGGTTATAGGTTTGCAGCAACCTCAATGTAAATGTAGCACAGGGTTTGGTTTTGGCATGGTGGAGTGTTTTTCACTGTCAAAATCAGTGAAAAACATCAACCTCTCTGTAAACTTCTGTTAGAACTACAGTTTTTAAAAAAAAGCAGGGCACAGACGTCTCTTGATAAATTTCTTATCTTGAAGAGTAAGTACCCTCACACGTGAGGTTTGAATCAGCAGCTGTGTTATATATTTACAATTCTCCCAAATGAAAAAAAAAAATATTCAATACTCTAGAAAAGCAAAGAGTACCAGAAGGAAGTCTATCTGTGCTTCATTGACTATGTAAAAGCATTTGACTGTGTGGATCACAACAAATTGTGGCTGATCTTGAAGAGAATGGGAATCCCAGAACACTTGATTATGCTTATGTGAAACCGGTACTTAGACCAGGAGGCAGTCCTCAGAACAGAGTAAGGAAACACTCCATGGGTTAAAATCAGGAAAGGAGTGCATCAGGGATGGATCCTATTTCCATACCTTTTCAATCTGTATGCAGAACAGATCATTCAGGAAGCAGGGCTTTTTTTTTTTTGCCTTTTTTTAAAATTAGTGAACTTTTTTATTATTGACTTTGTTTGTTTGTTTGTTTTAAATGGAAGGTTACTGGGTGGCCCTGACTCAAGTGGGCATGACCAGGGGACAAGGGGATGGGAACCAGCCAGCATGGGGAGGGGTCATCCCCACAACATTCCATTTATACACAGAACTGAACAGACAAGCACAGAGTCACTATTGCGGTTAGAAATTGGCAGCCTGCTCATGAATATTGATGCAAAAATCCTAAATAAAATACTGGCAAATAGAATCCAACGATACATAAAAAAAAATAATCCATGATGACCAAGTGGGATTCATAACAGGTATGCAAGGATGGTTCAACATAAGGAAAACAATCAATGTAATTCATCACATCAACAAGGCAAAGAACAAGAACC